GCCAACAAGCTGAGCATGGTTATTGTAAGGTAGTTCTGTCAATGTATGCCCATTATGAAGAGGAAGCAGCATTGTGGGCAGAGGAGCCTTGGATGCCTTCTATAGATCAGCCAGGTCTCAGAACCACTGTGAGAACCACTGCTTGGCTTGACACTGGTTTAGTAGACAACTGGTGAGATTTCAAAAAACTTTCGTTTTAAGGCACTCAAAAGTGCTATCTACCTTAGCAAGACGATTACGAAGATCTCTTGATGTGTCATTGGATGTAGAAAGGAAGAATTTAAAATATCCACATAGCTTCATACAAAAAAAAATATAATTATAAATAATTTTAGGGAGACGTGAACAAAAAAGAAAAAAAGAAAAGAAAAAGAAAATTGCAAAGGGGCGTCATCCAAGAAATATTTAAAGTGTATAAATTTTATGATCTGCCTCCCTTGGAAATCGAAAACTGGAACGTTTGCCTTCAAGTCAGTTTCCATAGCTGTGATTTATTTCTTACAGATATTGATGGGAACTAAACAAACTTCTAAAAGTTAAACTAAAACTAGTTTTTAACTAAAATAAAGTAGCTAAACTAATAGTTTTCAGAAACTCCAGGATACAATTAAACTAAACAAAATTAATGGAACCATCACAAACAAATTATTTTTTGGGGGTGGGGTTGAACTAGACCTTTACAGATAATTAGATATAATCATCCGACTGTATGCCTATACGGTTTGGATCTTATTCTTTTATATTGTAGAAATATTTATCCATAATAAAAATAAGTATTAAGGAAATATGTTTCTTACACAAACGTTACTGCACACTAAAATAAAGATGTCTCAATAAATATGTGTGCTTGTATTTTTGCCTTCAATTAAAACCTTTAGAAAAGAATGGAACTCTTTTGTTTTAAATTATATTAGCTTATTATATAACAGAAAATCTTACTTATACCTGTAAAGTTTAAAATCTCATTAAATAACAGATTTAGATCTAGTAATTAAAGAAATAGAAACGAAAGCGTTAGAGTTTCAAGAAACATTGGACCTGTAGAACTATTTTATAGTTTAAAATACATGCTTGACTAACCATGCCAATGTGCTATTTTATTGTCTGACCACTGTAAATACAACTAACACTATTGCATAATCGTTAAACGCGAAAGGGAAAAAAAACAGGGTGGGCTTGTCATTATGGACTGCACACTCAGCAGGCCTACACTATATATGAGTACACGTGTACGTCTATCTGGTCAGGTCAGATTGTTAAAATCAGTCGGACACTGTCTATTTACTTTCTGGGCAGAGAGGGTGTGTAACTATTTTAGTGTAAAGATATATCTACGAATATGCTTGACTAGCCATGCCAGTGTGTTATTTTCTTGTCTGACCACTCCACATTAAGCAAACTAAACACTATCGCATAATGCGTAATGAAAAAAAAATGCTGGATAGTCTTGTAGCAGGCCCCTATCATCGACTACACACGTACAATACACTAGGCCTACATGTGGTGATGTCTAGCTGACCAGGTTGGTAAAATCAGTTGGACACAGTCTACTTACTTTATGGTCAGAGAGGGTGTGGGTTAAGATATTTTTTCTAGAGTTGGTTATTCTAATGCTTTTAGATCTATATAGGCCTAGCTGTCGATTTAGACTTAATAGATCTCAATAAAAAGTCTTAAGACTATAAAAGGATGTTCCTGCAGTTAAAAAAATATTGTTTGCCGCAAATAAATTGATTAAAACCACTAAATATTGACCTAACTCATTAATCAGATTCCACTATAAACAGAAATTAAACACCTCCGTCTGACTCACAAAAAAATTCGGAACAACCTCGTTCATAATATTGTATAGAAACCTTTGGCAAAAAATGTTTAACATTTTATAATACTGCTATTTGCAAGTGCAAATGTTTACTCTTATAACTTCTATCAGTATCTTACTTGACCCTCTTCAAATGCAGACTGACTAAATAGTTTTTAACTGCATCATTTTTTTAAAAAACAAAGTTATTGATATCACATGACCAGAAAACAGGGATGTGTGTTTCAACATTTACAAATTTTAATTAAACTTTTTAGTTAGTAACTCCGATTTTAACTAAAAAAAATTTTCTAGTTAAACAATGGCCATAATTATTTTTTTTTAGTTAAACTAAAAGTTTCTAACTTTTTAGTTAACTTTTGCCCATCACTATTTACAGATAACATGTTATGGAGTGTGTGTATGTGTTTTTTACTATGTGATATGGAAAGGAATTGTTTATTCTTTCGTTGTAGAGAGGAGACATTATTTTAATGTTAATTTTGTAGAATGATGCAATATGTGCGGCGGTGTCGTAAGATGTGCTAGATACGAATGACGACTGGAGTGCAGGGGTGTAAAGACGTGTTTTTAAACGTAGTTAAATGTATTTCAATATCAGTCTGTTTTATCTCACCACAAGTTGACTTTGTTTATATATTGTAACAACGTAAAACATAGTACGCCTACAGCGGTTTAGTTGTCTACCAGCATTCTGGTATAGTAAAGTAAAGCTAAGTAAAGTTCCCCTTTCAAACCTTGTGGTCTACAGGGCAGTTGTTGTAAAGGTCATCTGTTTCTGTGATTAACGGTTAACGAGGGTGTCATGTGGCCAGCACAACGACCAACCACCTTTACTTTTTCCCAACTAATGTCAGATGCCCATCAGAGCTGGGTGGACTCAGAGGCGCCCGAAGATACCAAAATTAAAAATCCTAGTCTTTACCAGGATTCGAACCCCGGACCCCAGTTTGGAGACCAAGCGCTTTAGCACTCAGCCACCGCGCCTCCTACCAGTAGTTTATCGTCAACAAGACTACATGAAATTTAAGGAAGACTGTGTAGCAACGGGAAAGGAAACAATAGATTTGGATATACAGATAGAAGAACTTCAAAATATCCACATCAAGTGTTACAGAATCTCCAGCATTAGGTCAAAGTCAGACTCTTAATACAAAACAGAGATTCTTAATACCAAAATATCCACATCGGATGTAAAAGAATCTCTAGCACCAGGTCGAAGTGAGTCTGTTTTGTTTAGATTACCTTTTCAAGAAATAAGCCTGCAAGAAAACTGTTTACTCTTTTACACTAACTCTTAGACTAACAACGCCAATGTAAAGATGTGCACCTACCTTTGCTTCCGACTTTTCTCATCTTTATTAATAATTTCTTTTTGGTCTTCTCGTTATTCTCATTGGTGGAGATGACGTCAGTCTGGATGAGGATGTCCCGGGTTACTCCATCCCCTCCATCGGGCTCGTCCCGGGATTTCACCGTCTTGAAGACGAACTTGGTCTTCTCGTCTTGAGACTTGATCCTGATGGTTTTCTCCGGGGAAGCTGCTTTGACGCTGATGTCGGTATCCATAACTGAGTTTGCTGACGAGGGCAGCAGCGAGGCTGGCGTCTTGGGGTCTGGTTTATTGTTAGAGGGGTGGCGGTGATGATGGTGATGATGCGGGTGGTGGACGCTGTAGGGTTTTGCCCTAGAGAATTTTCGTTTTTCTTCAGAACCATCTTCACGCAGGGCCTCGGCTGTCGGCTCTATTATCGTTTCCGATTGCTCAACTGAAATAACCTCTTCGTTAACTGTATTGGATGGACTGTCCACTTTCATATCTATTAAACTTTCGTTCAAAATGTTTTTGTTTTCCTTGCAAACTCTAACAGGGCTCTCACACTGAGGCAATAAAGGCACCGATTTTTCCTCCTTGTTCGGGGTAGTTTTATCTACTGGAGCCTTGACTTCTATAACAGTGACATTATGTAAACTTAAATCTGGCGGAACCTCTATCTCGGAACCGGTTTTGTTCGAATCTTCTATCAATTCCACCAGAGGCGTTTCCTCCTTGAAGTCCGTTTTAACCTGCGCAGAACCAAGTGGTAGTATTTTTACAGGCGACAATTTGGCTTGAAAATGTTTAGTAGGGGAGTGCGTGGAGTGGGAATTTTTTACTGGTGAATTGTTGTTGACTGGTACAACCTTGTTCAAGGCGATACTTTCCCTCTTTGGCAAGGGCGTTACCTGCTGGATCTTATTAGCGGGTTCCTCTTTGATGATGCTGTCAATATCTCCACTTTTGGTCAGGAAACAGTTTTTTCTGGAATGATCTATGGTCTGTATGGTTTTTACAGTAACAGGGGGACGTTTAGGATCTCTGGTGTTCGATATATCCGGTAAAGTAGCGTTGTGCACTTTGTTGTTTCTGATTGAATAGATAGGAAATGAAAGATAAGATTATTTTAGTCTAGATATAAGTAGACGTCTTAAAATTAGTAATAAAATAATTGAACGTAAACATTATCAGGAAAGATTAGTTTCTTGTTTGCTTATATTTCGTTACGTTGTCGGGAAATTTCGCGCTATTTTGTCGGCGCTACTATGTCGGTGCTATTTTGTCGCGTTATTTTGTCGACGCTACGATGTCGGTGTAATTTTGTCGCGCTATTTTGTCGGTGCTATCTTGTCGCGCTATTTTGTCGCGCTATTTTGTCGCGCTGTTTTATCCGCGCTATTTTGACGGGTCACCTTTGGACGCTAAAGATAAGACAAAGACGATAAACAATTTAGTCTTACCCTAAAACGAACAAAACAAAATACAATTACATTGCTCTCTCTCTTTCATAATGTGCTTGCAATGGGTTATGTAAATAGATTATCCAATGAATCATGAAATATATTATAAAATGATTATGCAACAGGTTATGCTAGAGTTTAAAAAGAAATTATGCAATAAAAATTTTGTAAAAGATCATTCAATAGATTATAAATATTAATGCAATGACTATGAAATAGAGTATGCAATCGTGTATGCAAATTTTGGGCTTAGGGGTTAGATATATTGTCTTATAGGGTTAGGGTAAGAGAAAAATAGATTAGATAGATAGATAGATTAGATAGATTAGATAGATTAGATAGATTAGATAGATTAGATAGATAGATAGATAGATAGATAGATAGATAGATAGATAGATAGATAGATAGTGTCGTACTTCAACAATAACAAAACCATGTTACATTCAAAGCTTTATTACAATGAATGACAAACAACTACACACGTAGTAGAGATCACAACACGACATAGGGTCAGTACACAGTCTAACAAATGTAAACAAACACTAGGGGCGACAATCAAATAAATATATTCGCGATAGATAGATATCACGCAGAATGTTTGGATTATAATTCCAAACACCTTGATCTACATTTAAAGTTATAATAACCCTATCCTTGACAACTCACCCTTCATTTCTCAATGTTGACCTAGTGCCGGCATTCGGGCTCTTCTTGAGAAAAGCGGACGTCACCTGATCTGAAGTTCTTTCCGGGGGCACAGGCTCTTTAGGTGTCTTGGTGGACAGCCTGATCGCTGCGGAAAGCAAACGACGGTAGGTAACAAGAAAAATATTTTAAGGAAGACTTAACTTATATATTTTGTAGAGTTGCAGCCCTTAGAAATTCTTCCGTCGCTTCCTAGACATTCTTCGACCCCCTAAATGTATGCTCTTTTTTTATATCCTAAAACCTCTGTTTCAAAGTTAATCACATATCTTGTGTAGCAGGCATACATGATAGTAATAGATTCTGACAGTCTGCAAAATTCGTATCGTATTTTCGAGCGTATACCCCCCCCCCCCCCCCGGCCAAAAAGACAAAAAAAAGCAACATACGTATACAACATCCACATGCGTATAATCCGCACTATAACCCTGCATGTGCGAAGTGTGACTTGCCGTAAACTAGTCACATCTGTTTATTGGCATAAGGAATCACTACCGCATTGGTACTATCCATTTTCTTGATGTTTATAATGAGATAATTAAAAAGCTTTTCAAATGTACATTTCACAACCAAACAGCGAGTTATAGGAGGTATAGAGAACCACCGGTATATCCATTGCTTACGTTATGCAATGGCTACGAGTAAAATAAATTTTGTAAAACCCCCCCCCCCCGCACCCTTGTTCACCCGGCACAGCTGCACATTGTTTGTGAAAACGTTTATGACACGCGGATTAAATGCACGAAAATAAAGAAAGTCCTGTGGGAGGTTTGTGCTAGGATTAAGTCATCTTCAGAATCTGAATGAACATCCAAATCATGTAACACAATTTTACAAAACAAAATATAACGAACTGCCAATTATTATTATTATTTCTGACCCTATTCTAACCAATCCAGTTTTTTAAACCACCGTTATTTGACATTGCAGTCACCCCCCCCCACACACACACACACACACAAAATTTCATTGACTGAAGGAAAAAAAAAAGAAAAACACACTCGACTTTTATTTCCCGGCATTCCGCGTGTGTAAATGATTGGTCTCTTGGGGGTCATTTTGTTGAACTGGATCCACCCATGTGGGTCGTCAATTTTCAGACTTGGCTAAGTCTTGTTACCGTTGAAACACAGTTTGTGTTCAGAATGTTAATTCTTATTAAATACTAGTCTATAAAAGAAAAAAGCCAGATGTTGTGCGTATGTATGTTTTATTTATGGAAATAAACAGCATTTGACCAATCTTGAACTTATAGTGAATATTTTTTAAACTAATTCTGAAGCTGTTGAGTGTATATATTATAACTCTCGTTGGAGGACTTAAAGATAGATTGTCTTAGCTTTCGAAACGTGTTTGTTCTCTGTTAAACGTTTGTGTTCAATGCAGGCAACAAAATCTGTAGACACAGTCTGAGTTTGTTATGAATAATGACTTTAATAAGCTGAAAATGTATTCTTTTTATTTCTCGGTACTTTCTTATTTAGGAGGCGAGGCGGCTAAGCGGCAAAGCGCTTGGATTCCAAACTGGAGTCCTGGGTTCGAATCCTGATGACGACTGGGATTTTTAATTTCGGGCACCTCTGAATCCACCCAGCTCTAATGGGTACCTGAACTTAGTTGAGGAAAAGTAAAGGCTGGCCACATGACACCCACGTTAAATGTAGGCCGCAGAAAGAGATGACCTTTATGTCAGGTTTAGGAATTATTTGTGTTGTTAACTAGCTGTACACAATTAAGGTCCCGGGGTTCCACCTGACAAGACATCACTCCCACACAGTCATACATAGAGTGACCAACTATGTGAATAGTTTAAATAGTAAAATTAAATGAATTTAATTGTATGAAACTGATATATGTGTATGTACAATGAAGATGATAAATAGACAATATATATATATATATAAATATATATACATATAAATATATATACATATACATATATATATATATATATATATATATATATATATATATATATATATATATATATATATATATATATATATAAAGATATTATTCAATAATTAATTTAAGCACCTTTGCTACTGCTATCAACTTTTCACCCTGGTTTCATAGTCCACCAGACTCTGACCGACCGGCGTCACAAAACTGCCAACCTCGGTAATAGTAAAGTTAGACCTCAGATGATCGCCAATTTGACAATAACACTGAAAACTGTATATATATTTCTGAGACGGCAAGCAACGCCCACACTAGCACAGACTCGAGTTCAGTATATACAACTCCAACACTGGCACCCCTAAACAGGGGTCCAAAAATCCTACTGAATAATAAGTCCAAGAAACTAGTACAGACTATATGTATAATAACTTTTTACGGACCAACACACCGTTCGTTCCAACCAAAGTCATAGGGTGAACTGCCTCATGACAAAGAATGACCAATAGATGTCTTAGACTTTGTGACGTAGCAAAAACAATTCAAAACAAAATACAAGGCACTCTCGCCCCGTACAAGTACTACGAGTAGAGCATAAATAAAAAACAGAGTTAGGATAACTACGCGACACTTTACATCATCTGCCCTATAGACCACATGGCTTGAAAGGAGAGCTTGTTTACTTCTATTTTTTTTTGTGGAATATCAGTTTAACCATTCAGGTATCCGAAAATCATATCAAATATTAGCTTAGGGCTTTATCAAGGCTACGTCAAGGTAGGCATCCCCGTCGATTGATTCGATACTGCCCAGGTATGAGAACGTGCCCAACTCTTCAAGACTGGCCAAGTCTGACGTGGGCACTCTTTGCCTACCATGACGCAGCGTGCCGAATAGGAAAGGCAGGTAGCATTTCCCAAAGGCTGCGGCCTATTTGGACAAGTCAAACCATTGGACTCGAGACAAAAAATACACCATCTTAACACAATCGTCATCCCAATAGCAACATATGCATGTGAGACATGGAAGTCATCTGTCAAAATTGGAAAAAGACTAAATTTGACTCAACAAAAATGACCGAGACGGATTTAGATCGGGTCTCAAACAGAGAAATCCTATGCCGAACTGTGAGTCGACCACTTAGTGAGGTTGTGACAGCGTCGCATGATGTTTTAATGACATGTTTTCGGAAAAGAAAAATTACACATACGAAAAGCTGCGATGACAAGGAAAGGATACGAGGAAAGCGCAAACAAGGACGTCCTCGTATAACTTGGCGCCACACTTTTATGGAGGACCTCAGAGCAGTGGAAACCAGGTGGAAGGAGACTTCAGACATTGCCAGTGACAGAGCTTTGTAGAGACAGCTTGTCGCCCCGTGCGATGAACGGCGAGGGAGGATGTAAGTCTAAGTAAGTCCAAGTAAGTCCAAGTAAGTCTAAGTAACTCTAAGTAAGTCTAAGTAAGTCTAAGTAAGTCCAAATAAGTCTAAGTAAGTCTAAGTAAGTCTAAGTCTTAAACATCCTTCCATCCATTCCTTTCAGTGCTGTTAGAGCCTTATTATTCTGTATGAAGAGACCATAAGTAATTATATTGGCATTGAATCAATAATGTCATATAACTTTATGTACCTGCCTCAAACCTGTGGCGTGGCAACGAGCTATTGGTCTCCACTGACCACAGGTTGTCACGTCACAGCTCTGTGTTCAGGCATTCTATAACGATTGGTCTCTGTCGAACCTTCTGTCACATAAATTTAATGATGAGGAAATGGAAATTAATTGTAATATTCATCAGCCGATATTTTAATAATAAGGAGACAACTGTAAATTACATTAGAAATTAAGACTTAATGGTCTAAATATTAGCAAAATACCGTATAGTCTATAAAATCACGTCAATGTCAGGTACCCATTAGAGCTGACATCTAAAACCATAAAATGATTAAAATCAACAGGCTTGAAATATTTAGATCTAGGATTGTTAAAAAGTGACAGAGCAAATTATTTATATGGAAACTAAATGGAAATAAACTTTATAATAAAATTATATCATAGATTTGTGTGAATATGTAGGTCTGTGATCAATAGCCACTTGTATTTAAAACCGCGAAATAGGATTGTATTAGAGAGAAAGAGAGAGAGAGATGGAGAGAGAGAGGGGGGGAGAGACAGAGGTGATGGGTGCAGACGTGCCAATCTTGCCCTGTTCATTTCTCTGATCCTTAGAAGCTGACAACAAAGTACCAATACTCTGTGTGATTTAACTTCAATTTAAACCAAATGAAAGGGGAAATAAATCGTTAGAGACTAAGGTCGTCTTCTGCTTCTTAGAGAGAAAGGATACAAAAAAAAGCCACTAATGGAAATAACATAAAATCTGGCTAAGGAAATGGGCCAACACCTTGAAGACATCATTGCTGAATAGGCTGGAAACATTTCTGGGAGTCTTCCAAGACAAGCGGAAGAAGGTGAACTAATTGTAGGAAAATGGGTAGAATCGAAGCCAGATAGAGGTCAGTGACCTCCATTGAACAGTATTTTGAAAGAGTCAATGGGGGGGGGGGGCAGATAACTTTAAAAAAAAAACGTGCAAGGAAGGGAAAAAAAGGGGTGGGGAAAAAATCAATATTCAAACTAAAGAAAACAAAGAAACAATGTGTATATTTCTAGAACTAGTGATTTGTGTACTAATGTAGCTGCTATCAATTCCTATGCTATTGTTTTCGGAAGGCATTTATGCAGAAAGACCAACTTAAATATCTGACGTCATGTGGATATATGTATATATATATATATATATATATATACACATATACATATATATATATATATATATATATATATATATACACATATACATATATATATACATATATACATATATATATATATACATATATATATATATATGGGGATATTCGATGGGTGCCTGATCACGTGATATGGACTCCGGACGGGCAACACTAAGGTTTACAGCACAATGATGACCTGCTTTGAAAGATCTGCAGTGGGAAGTTTTTAAGTTTTAACACCTGGATCAGTATTGCCAGCTCATATGATTAAGTGAAGAAACTAGCGTTTGTTATTCTTTTTCTAGTATGATTCCTCTATTCAAGTCATAACTTCATGAAGGGCGGAACCTGGACCCAAATCTCAAAAACGGCTCTGACAATTTTTCTAGACATTTAATCGTTGATGTTTACCGTTGAGAAAAGAATTAATAGCTCGTTGGCCTTACGGCGAAAACTCTAGTATAAC